GATAACCACCACAGCATCAGCATCAACTTTGTTTTCTTGACCTCCGATTTGGCCACTTCAAGCTCCGTGACAAGTTTCACTCGAACAGAATCTGCTGAACCCAACTCGAACTGGAGCTCCTCGATTTTGTTGGCTTGCGACAATGTCTTCTCTTTCATACTTCGAAGCTGATTTCAGCCGAGGCCGGCTAGGCCCGGGCAGTCTCCTTTTCTGAGGCCAAGCGATCCATGTTCTTTTTCCATTCTTCGGCCTCAGTCTTTACAGCTTCTACTTCCTCAAGGAGCTGTACAATCACATCGAGCTTTTGTTGGACCTGCGAATTCGGACCATCAGTCACCATGACCGAGTCATCGTCTCTAACTTCAAATATTCCTCTTACCTGTTCGGACAATTCGGTGTGTTCTTGTTGAGCCATTTCTAGCTCAGCACGAAGACCTTTAGCTTCCCTTTCTCTTTGCTCACTTAGAAGCTTGAAGGCATCTTTCTCCTCAGTAGGCCCTCGGACCTCGGCCTCATGCCGACTCAGCTCCCATCGGAATCGGAGGAAAGCCTCGTGCTGAAGTACCGAAGCCTGCAAACATAGAAGGGAAAGTTATACAAAGGGAGAAAAATCTAAGTATGAAAATTGACAGGGAAATCAGGGATTACCCGATTTAGAGCCTGTTGGGCTTCGTTGAAAAGACAAGGCGCTCCCACCGCATCCATTTGGGCTCGATCTTCTTCTGTGACCAAACACCGGAGGTAGCTGGCCACCCCTACGGGGGCAGCAAGAACCCAGGCATCCTCCGGGACCGTGATACCGATTGTTCGCTTGCACTCGGGATCGGCACTAGGGGCCGGGAACTGATTGGTCAATTTAAGACTCGAGGAAGCCTCGCCCGAGCTTTTCTTCGGAACATCCAAGTCACCCAGACCCGTGACATCTTCTACCTCAGCAAAATAACCATGGAAAAAATCTTCCTCTCCGTGGGCTCCTTCCCTGTGACAAGTCTCCACAGCCTGAGCGTCACGTATCATCGAATCAGAAACTGGAGATAACAAGGGGGAACCCCCGATCTCTATTACCCCAAGTGGGTCCTTTGAGGCACTGCCTCCATCTTGGGGAGCCTCAAGCCCGGTTTCTACACCAATGTCCACCGCTTCTTCAATGATCTCTTTGCCCCGAGGTAAAGCATCTTCGTTCCTCTTGGCTCGGGGACTTAGGCCGAAGTCTCCTCCTCGACCTCATCAAGCCTAGGCGGAGCAGTATTAACTCTCACCGGTTCCGAGGTTCTCTGAACCTCGGTGCTAGATCGAACACGGGCCACCAGCCCGGAATCATCTTCATTCTCTTCTTCTTCGTCCTCTTCGGGCTTCTCCAGTAGCCGACGGACTGAGTCCATTGTTAAAGGGATGGTTTCCCCCTTGGGTTTACGGGTTGTCTTCTTTTTGGGCTTCTGCCCCTTAGAGTTCGCAGAAGCCGAAGCTCTCTTCCTCTTCTTCTCCCTCCTGCTTCGAAACAGATGATGGGGGAGGAATTTCTTCATCACCGAATGGAGGCCTCATCATCACCTCCTTCCTAAGACCTACAAAGGAAGACAAATAAATAAGTTCGGAAAAATGCTCGAACAATGATCAAATCATTAAGTCAAGTAGAGAAACTTACCATGGCTACTAGCCTCCCATCGACCGCTCGCCAAATCATGCCATGCGCGCTCAGCATGGGTCGATTGCGATATCAGGCTCCTGACCCAGTCCTCGAGTTGGAGGATCACGCCCGGCATCCAGGCAACAACTATATCCAGTAAAACACTAATAAGAAAGGGTTAAAAAACAAAGACAATAAACAAGAATTAGGAGCGGAGTCATACTTACGTTTCATATTCCATTTCTCAGGAAATGGCATACTTTCAGCCGGGATCAAGTCTGAGGTCTTCACTCGAACAAATCGGCCTATCTAGCCCCGGTCTTTGTCCTCATCTACGCGTGAGAAAGGTGCCTGGTGGCTCGACGTTGAAGCTTTATTAGTCCCCCTGATAGAGTCGTGGACTGTATAGGCGTATGAGGTGGTCGAGCGTAAAGGGAAGCCCATCGACTTTGCTTGAGAAGAAACGGAGTAATATCACTATCCTCCAGAAGGAGGGATGAATCTGACCGAGGGTTACCTCGTACTTCTTGCAGAAGTCTATGATGATCGGATCCAAGGGACCCAACGTGAAAGGGTAAGTGTAAACAGTTAAGAAACCTTCCACATGAGTGGTAATTGCCTCTTCTGGAGCAGGCACCACCACGTGTTTCTTACCCAGTTGCAATCTTTTTTAACCCGGGAGAGAAGTTTTTCAGTTATTGAGCATATATACCTCGATACTGGCTCGCATCGGCCCGGTACCGAGGAAGTCTTTTCAACCTTGAAATCAGAATCGAGAACGGACCCTCTGGGAAAAAACTCTTCAGGGCGTGGCTCCGCCGCCGATTCCTCGCCGGCCGACCGTGACGATGAAGCAGTCTCCTTTCGCGGAACGGTTTTAGATGTTTTGGCCATTGTAAGTAAGGGAGAATAGAGATTGAAATTTTTTGTGTTTTGGGAAGAATAAGCAAAGATATTCAAATATCTGAAGACAAGAAGCTCCGAAGAATGCAAAGAACTATGAGAATTAGAATAAAAGAGATTGAAAGTAAAGGTTGGGCAAAAGAAAGAAGATGCATTTATAGGCTGAAGTCGACGGTTCAGAACTGGTAGTGACTGACCGTCGGCTGACGCATATTAAATGCCTAGAAAACTGAACCGACGGAACGTTTCGGTCACCTCTGCCGCTTGCATCACGATGCTTACATCATGGTAAACCGAGGGGAAGTTCGAAGACTCAATTCGTTTCTTGTTGTTACACTCCAAAAAACGAGGGGACTATCTGTATACGGTCAGAGTCGGGCTTCCTTAATTTTGTATGGCTAGTCGAAACCGGGATGACAGACCAAGGCCCGACCTCGCATTGCATCGAACCATGGCACAGAGATGAATTGCTGAAATCATGAGTCGATGATCGATCAAGATCGAGACCAATCGTGACGGAGACCAAAGCGAGACAAAGACCGAGCGAGATCGAAGGAAGCCAGCTAAACTGAATAACATAAAGCCGAGATATCCGTGATCTGACAAGGATCGTGGCGGAGATCTCGGCACATATCGAGTCAAGACCGGACATTTAGCCAATCATGAGATTTTCTTTTGTATTTAGAATTGTACCATAAGTAAAATTCTTCTACTATATAAAGGGGGTTATAATCATTTTGTAAGGGGGATTATTCACGCATAATCAAGCAATATACTACATTTTCTCTCTTAAGCTCTGTTGTTCAGTTCATACTCATTTGTTAGCATATTCTGTTGGTTCGAGGGCGATCTAGCTCGAAGGCCATAACTGCTCATTATATTGGTTTGCTTTCTTTTACAGTTAATTTCTAACATTAGTTCTTATATTTCTCAGTTTGTGCCAAGTGAAACCACATATCCTTAAAACCACTTCTAAGTTTAAGTGCTATCCAATTTTAAGAGTAAACAAAAATATAAATCACACGAGTGAAAAGATATTAAACAAGTTGGGACTCAAGAATAAAGTCTATAGAAGATTAAATATTCGAAAATATAAATTTATATCATACGAAAGGAAACATATTCAATATATTGTACTTTGCTACTCATAATCACTAGAATAACTTGTGTCCTTCTAGTGGATATGCTAGAAATAATTTAACTTCAATAGGAGTAGTATAATAGATTTGAGAAATCGAACTTTGAGTTTAATTACTCGTTGGCTTGTAACCGTTTTCATAATTCCAAGGCCCAAGAAAAAATTTAGTGCTTTATTATTTTTAAACTTAATATATAAATAGGTTTTTTCATGTAAATTTATTCGGTACGATTCGGTATTCTTTTGTTTATTTTAATAAAATAAAAATCCTACCCTAATTATCAGTGTGATTATAAATTTATAAAAACTAAAGGTACGGTATTGTTCGGTCGGTTTATTCGGTTTTTAAATATGCATTGACACCCCTATCTATTGTGACTTCAAAAAATCATCACATTACGATAATGCTATTTTTATCTCTAAGTTAAATACTAAAAGTAGGTTGAAACAACGCCTAAAATTTTTATTTTGTTAGAACTATTATGGAGATGGACATTAATCAGTGAGCAGCATTATCATAGATTTTTTTTTTATACTAGATTCAAGATATTTAGAACTGCAAAAAGATGGAAGGTTGTCCAATCTACAAAATTTAAAAAGACTAATATATACAAATACTAAAATATTTTCATTAAAATAAAAGTTATACTAGATCACATTGCAATTTTGGAAATAACAAAATACCAGGGAAAAGAATTAATAGCTATTACTAGATCATATTATGATACCAGGAAAAAATTAAAATTTCTCTCCAGATGGATTACAATATTGAAAAATAATCAAATACAAGAATAACATTAAAATATATACTAATATAAGATTACAAATATCAAAATAAAAGAAAATCAATATTGAATCGGATTACAAATACCGGAAAATAATTGAAAATTTTTCAGAAAAAAGCACTAAAAGTTATACTGGATCGGTTCCATTATCTGGAAAGTATATTGAAATTGAACAAATAAAAACTTAGAATTTTTTTTGCTTTTAATCCCTCAAGTATTGACAAATTATAATTTGGTCATTGTGATTTATGGTTAAGCAAATTATGAGTACATTTTTGAGCTCTTGCTAGTGAATCTTTACAAATATTACGAACTGTTAAACAATTTAATAACTGGTAAATTATGTTCTATAAATACACATTGTTGTTAATTTGGAGGTTAAATGTGCTTAGTATCCAACTATTATAGGACCAAATTTGGAATATATTAATAATTAAAGGACCAAAAGTGTAATTGAAATTGTGAAAATCAAACGTAACAGCCAATACAAAATTACAAATACTCCTCTTTCCCCTCTCTTTTCACACTCCACAGTGTTTCTCTGTTTCTCTGCAACACTCTCTTCAGTCTTCTCCATTTCAACCAAATAAAGCTTACCTACCGATTTCTCTGGAATTTAGGTTTCAGAATTTATTTTTTAATTTATTTATGGGCTTAAACAACAACAGCACCACCAACAAACGTAAGCTCAATGATTTCGTCGCCGATCAAATGGAAGTTTCAGTTCCTTCCGCCGTCAAGATGAGAAAAGACCAAAATCTCCCTCCAACACATATTCAGTTTTTTGTACGTTTGTTTCCCGGCGGCAAAACGCTGGTAATTCAAGCCGATTCTAATGACTCAGTAGAATCAGTTCACGAAAAAATCATGTTAATCACCGGTATACCGGCGGTGGAGCAGCGGTTAATTTACCGGGGAAAGCAGCTTCATCAATGGGATCAAACGTTGTCGGATTGTGGTATTCAAAAGGATGCAAGCTTGGAACTTGTAGGCCGAATTCGGAGCACAGGCCATCCTCAGGCGTGGCAGCTCATGAATGACTTAATTTCACTAATCTCTGGTATTTTGAAAGGCAATTATCCTGCTGTTAACTCGAACTCGTATTATATATTAAAAATGCTTATACAGTTTTTAACTATAACACCGAAGGATAATACTGAAAAAGCGTATGAGCACATCCAAATCTTCATTTCCTCGTCTGCTCCTTCAGCTCTGGTAATGCTTTATATGTCTTCAAATTATGCTAACAAAAATAGTGCTGATGAATCCGTTCGTTCATTTATTGATTCATTTAAGAGTAAGTTGCCTGTACCTGTGTACAATGGATGTGTTCCTATAGTGTTAGAGTTTTGTAAACTTCTCAGAGGAGCTGTTGGGATTGATGATCGTTTGTATAATAAATGTCGGAGTAGTTTAGGGGCTATAGTAGAGTCCACTGGGATTGCGACGTGTAAGGCTGAAACTAAGAAGTTGTTAGCATTGCAAGATGTTTTTCCGTTTGTTTGTGAGGTAGCAAGTAAGTTATCTTATGATTTGGAATTGACAATGGGATCAACTAAGCTTATTGGGTTATCATTTAGCATTGTGCGGGATTTTACTGTGTTTATGCTTCCGGTGAGAAATGTAATACGGTGGCAAGTACCATTTCGCTTTCCAATAACTTTCCCGTTGGAAGAGGATGACACCAGTGAAGGAGTGTATTACAAAGAGTATATTGAATGTTTGCATCATATTTTCTATGATTTGCTAGATAAAATGGAGATGTGTTTAAGGGAATTGGAAGACCGGTTGGGTTTGAAAGAGAATGGAAAAGGCAAACCTATTGCACCCTGGTGGTCTCAGTATCTTGTAATTCTGAAGGAGTTAAATAGTATATCAAAACTGTATAAGGGCTTGGAGAAGGTATTTTGGCAGAAGATGAGGCAAATAAAGCTTTCATTGTGCTTTTTGATAGTTTCATTTGCAAAAAAGTCTGATGATTATGGTTGGGTTCTTGAGCACAAGGAGGTAACCAATTTTGAGTTGAGGAGGCATTTGGCAATGATGATGCTTCCGGAAGTTAGAGACGAAAATGCGATGCATGAGATGCTCATTGACAGGTCCCAGTTGTTGGAAGAATCATTCGAGTACATTGGACAAGCTGATTCCAAATTGCTACGAGGCGGTTTATTTATGGAATTCAAGCATGAAGAAGCTACTGGTCCTGGTGTATTGAGGGAGTGGTTTTTATTGGTATGTCAAGCGGTCTTCAACCCTCAAAATGCTCTCTATGTTGCTTGCCCAAATGATCGTAGAAGGTTTTTCCCAAATCCAGGTAAGCTTTTAGTGCCTTTATGTACACATTTTTTTGCATTTTATTCTTACTTGAACTCATTAATCTCCAGATTTTTGCTAGTATCAGTATCTAATTTTTTTTAGTATGAAACAGAGGATAATTTTGTGTGGATATGACAAGATATGTGGATATCCCTTAAGGTTGCTTGATGTAGTTGCTCGTCGCTAGTCTCATTATTCAATTTTTCCTGAAACCTGTGTCCTTGCAGCATATCTTCTTTTTAAAATGATTTTGTATCTTTTCCTGTTCGTCAGAGATCTGTTTTTTACTTGCTTTATGACCCTTGGATCCCACCTCTTGTTAAGTTCAAATAATAGATAACCAAATTGGAACTTGTATTCCACTAGGAAAAAGTTATGAAGGAACTGGTAGCTAAGAATTCATGTTTATCATGGTATACGACCTAATCTAAAGAATAATTAGGATCTAAAAAGGTTTTTACTCCTATTTTTTTCCTGTAAGCTTCTAATAATCCATATTGACTTCGAGTTTGGTTGTGTACACTCCCCCAATCTAACCAGCGCCAAACACACTCTCGCAATCGCAACAGTCTCTAAGCTAATGTTGAAAGTACTTTTGACCCTTGAGATGTAGTAATTTTGACTTTGGCCCCATAAAACATGAAGTCGTGCTTTGGCTATCATTTGTCCAATCATTTAATGCATCACGGAAAAGTAAAATTACTCTCTGTATTAGAATGTAAATAACGCTCATCTATGATTTGTGCTTGCAGCATCTAAGGTGGACCCATTACACCTTGAGTATTTCCGCTTCTCTGGTAGGATGATTGCATTGGCTTTAATGCATAAAATTCAAGTCGGTGTTGTGCTTGGTCGTGTGTTCTTTTTGCTATTGGCTGAAAAGAATATTTCATTGGAAGACATTAGGGATGCAGATCCATACTTATACAGTAGCTGCAAGCAGATACTGGAGATGGATCCAGAGATGGTGGATGAAGATACACTGGGCTTGACATTTGTTTGTGAAATGGAAGAGTTGGGTTCCAGGAAAGTGATTGAACTTTGTCCCAATGGGAAAGATACTGTTGTGAACAGCAAGAATAGGATAAAGTATGTTAATCTTCTTATTCGACATCGTTTTGTCTCATCAATTGCTGAGCAGGTAGCCCAGTTTTCTAGAGGTTTTGCTGATATAACTACGTCAAGGCTCCAAAAGTCCTTTTTTCGGTGTTTAAATCTTGAAGATCTTGACTTGATGCTTGATGGGAGTGGAAGTGATGTTTCTATGGAAGATTGGAAAGCACATACAGATTACAATGGCTACAAAGAAAGTGATCCTCAAATATCATGGTTCTGGAAGGTACACGATTCTTATCTGCGAGTCACTATGTTTTCATAATACTTGGTACTTGACTTTAACGCTTTCATCCTCTCTTTCTTCATTATTTGTAGAAGCAGTAAATTTCTGACTCAGAACTTTCTATTTCCTTCAAAGCTATTGCACTGGGAAGCATTTGTTTTAGGAGTTTGGGAGGTTCATATTGGTTCTTTTACTTTACCGGATTCTCTACTGGTAGCGAATGTTTTGCCGGAATAACATCTAATAAAAGCAAGAACATTATAAACGGGATTTATTGTACTCATATGCCTACTTTATTTGCCCATCTTCCACGACATTTCCTTAAGTGCGTCTTATGTTTTTTTTAAAACCGCACCCAGCAATTCATATTAGTAATCCTGCGGCATACGGTTATTTTTTCTCATCTATATCACACTTTGAATACGAACTCCGATTATTCAGACTAAGATGAAACAAACCGTCCTTTTCCATTTGTCTTAGAAGCTAGAGCTTTATAAGTCAGAAAAAGAAAAAGGACGAGTTGAATTGAGAGAATTGGCAGAAAGCAGGAGAGCAGAAAGGTTGTCTTTGGTTACACAATGCTAGGATATATAGCAGGGAAAAGACTTACTTTTATGAGTGAGTCTGTTACTTTGTCGATAGGGGCAAGGATAGAGCAATATTTAGAGTACACTTTTAGGCCTGTTACTACCCTGCCTCACACCTATGTCTGCCATTCTAGCCAAAATTGGAAATGATCACGTGGGATGCAGTTCTATGAAGAGCATCTGTAAGGCCTAAACAGAGAATAATATGTTTTTCGTGTGTAGGAACTATCAGGGTAAGCAACTATGGAAAGGCTCTTGGTCTAGTGAGTTTTGCAGTCTTTCTTTTGGTTTCCCTAGAGCCGGTTATGGATGTACATTCGTGGCATTGGTCATGCTAAAGAATTCTTTGATTGAGGCCTGCTGGCTGTGTTTAATGATATTACAAATAAATAATTTAGTGTCAAAAGGTAGTCTTTGTCTGCTACTTAGTAGCTTGCTTTTGTGGTTTCTTATAGTGGATAATGTAAGTTTGAGCTGCCCATGCACACCTGCTTGAGCTACTCTTTTACCATTTGACAGTCTTGTGTCTTGGTATTTGCTGTTCGTGGATGTCATGGTGCAATAAGCTACGTGAGGATCGTCCTAGTCCCTTCTCTTTCAGGCATCTGTTTTTATGCACTTTTACTGTACAAGAGAGAGAGAGGTGGATTTTTTGTGTTACGGAAGATAAGATTCTCAATGAAATAGGATTCACGGTAACACTAAATATCAAGACGCAATTCCTCTCTCTTTTCTCGTTTACATTCCCAAGGTAGTTTGGTGGTTATTGGATATGGATCCCAGGTAATTGATTATTGCGAACTGGATTAGTTGTCGCCACTCTGAATATTGTAAGGACAAACCTTCAAGTGTTAGAAGATGTGATTCATACCAATAACATTTGTTTCTTTCCTTCCATGCAGATAGTTGCGAGTATGCCTGCTGAGCAGAGAAAGGTGCTCCTTTTCTTTTGGACTTCAATTACGCATCTGCCTCTAGAGGGTTTTGGTGGTTTGGCTTCTAAACTTCACATCTACAAAACCTCAGAGTCCTATGATCACTTGCCTTCTGCGAAAACATGCTTCTACCGCATATGCTTTCCTCCTTATAAATCCATGGCCATCATGCAAGATCGACTCCGCATAATCACCCAAGAGCATGTTGGTTGCAGCTTTGGTACCCGGTGACATGCAAATTTTGAGATTGAACTTGCACATAAGATATGTAATCAGCTTGTACATGAAGTAGGATATGCCTACCTGCTACCTATTTGAAACTTGACTTTTTCATGGTCCTCTTTTTGTTACCCCCTCTTTGCATGGCTGAAGTTCGTACTTTCAACTCAATGTATCACAGACTGACGAGTCTAAGACAAGTTAGAAAAGCTAATAGAACTTGGCTTACTTCTTTACTGAATGCGTATCTTTTCTTTTTCCTTATCAAACTTCTATACAGGTATAATATCTATTAATGAAGAAAAAAGTTCCCGTCCTTCTTCTGTCTTCTCTATGCATTGTCGTTCTCATTCCTTTTTTCGCTCTCCCCTATTTTAATAGTGTTGACATGGCTGAAGATTGTATTTTTTCCAGCTTTTTCTCCTTATCAACAGTTTGTAGAGGTATAGCATCTATTGATAAAGTGGGAAGGTTAGACAATCTTCTAATTCTTATTCTGCATTATCTGTAAAGCATTTTGACCAACCATTGTTATGTATGTATTTATACAGCCAGATGTGCTTCATATTTTTTTAACTTTTATGATGTATATATTTAACCTTTCCCTTTTTAATTTAGGCATGTAATATAACTCTCTTTAATTCCAGAACAAACACTACTGAGAGTTGCAAACTTGTAGATTAGCATCTATATTTCACTTATGCTGCATCTGAATATCACTGTCTGTGATACCTCATACCTTCAGAACTGTATTCCTTCTGAACTTCGATTAATCAACGTCTTAGTCGGAAAATTTGTGCACTAGGAAACCTTTCATTCTCATTGATTTGCGCCTTGTCATTCTGTAATTGTTGTCAAATTTTGTGTTGTGCATACATGCATTATCATTTTCTTGTTAGAAGGGTAAGTTAGTGGAATGAGATATCAACCTATATATGTTTCGCCAATCGTCAAGAATTGATGTAAGGTAGGACCTTATGTATGGCTTCTTTTGGTAGCTATCTTTATGGATATAGAGGGATTGTTGACTCTCATTTTCATCTACAACTTGTCAAATTATTGCTTGTGGAATGCTTTACAATCACCATATTGAATCCTTCTATATTATCTTTAATCTGATCTACTTTTTCTCTTCCGCAGCTCTTTTCTTTTTCCAAAGGGAAACGACGGCCTTCCTTACAAGTTCTTGCTCGATCAAAAATATATGACATGCGAAACCATAGCTTTGCTGACTTTATGAGATCTAACTTTCATCGCGACATTATTGACTCAGGTTTGTGCTTTTTGCAAGCTTTTTTTATAACGAGAGAGTTGGCCCGCCCCGAAAAGCTGAGTTTTTTTCATTCCCTTGTGGTTGGCATGCAACAGCCTTCTTGATTGTATAAGTAAATGATCCAATTTTTGATGATCAGATAGCTAACATCAAGAGAAAAATGAAGGTATTAACCCATTAATAAAAACAACCAAAAATGATATGACCCTTTTATTATAAAAAACTAGAGATCAAATCTCATATCATCTTAATCAAACCATAGCAAACTGAACCCTGGACAAGATAACAAACATAGCTTTAAAAACTATGGAGTATCCACCCGACCACCTAGACCTAGGCATATGCTAAAAATAACATATGCCCTCACTGTAACCATAATAATATAGTAGTAATAATAGTAGTAAATAAAATATTAAGAAACAGAATAAACACAACCAACTTTAATAGACCACCATCATTCACCAACCATTGAACTATTTCCCATCTTCACTAAAATTCTTCAGAATTTACTCTTCAGCTTTCTCCACTGGAACTGCTGTCTCTTCAACAGGTTCTGCTTCTGCTACTGGTTCCTCAGCTGCTGCATCTGTGGTTTTCTCAGCCACTGCTTCTTCAGTTACTGGAGCTGATTCCTCTGCTACAGGGACAGCTTTCTCTGTTTCTGGTTCCTCAACAGGGGCTGCTTCGAGTTCAGCCTCCGCGACTGGGGCTGCTACCTCTTCAACAGGAGCCGCAACTGGTTCATCAGTTGCTGGCTCCTCTGTTTCTGTGGCTGCAGGTTCTGCTGCAGCCACAGGTTCTTCGGCAACAGGGGCTGCTTCCTCAGCGGGAGCAGTCTCTTCTACTGGTGCTGCTGATTCGACCGCGGTTTCGCTTTCTAAAACTGGGGTTGGTTCCTCTACTTTGGTTTCCTCTAGGGTTGTTTGAACCTCAGCCTCAGCTGGAGCAGTCTCTACTGCTGCTACTGGTGTAGATTCAACCTTCAAACAAAATTTGAAATTTCAACTCATGAGAAAAGATCTATATAAGCGATAACAATTAGTTGGGAATATGTGACCATCGTGTTAGTATGTTTACTTTAGTTCCTACATATACTAGGAATCTTTATATCCTATCACTGAGTTATATGCCAGTAGAAAATATAGAAAGCTTAAATAGAGCGACATAGTCAGTAAAGATTCTTATAGCTGATCTTAACTTGCTTGGGATTGACGTGTAGTAGTAATTATGTTGTTTTGTATTCTTGATATCAAACTAAGGTCATAAAAAAACTGTGATCATTGACCTTATCAAGATATTTCATTATAAAACCTTTATCCAAGAATGATCTAATAATATTTTCAAGATATAAAGAGTATTGATCAACCATTAGATTTTATTCACTTCATCAGTTTTAAGTTTTCATTTAGAAAGAAAGGAAGAACAAAATTGCCAAAAAAAAAAAAAAACATTGGTATAAAAGTACCTCAACGCTGGCCATTGGAAATTGAAGGAATAAAGTTGAAACTAAGAAGATGGGAAGAGAAGAAAAATAATGAAATGGAGGGGGTCTTAAGAAGCAAAGGTGGCCAAAGTGTTTTTAGTTGTGATTGGTGATGAAAAAGGATCAAATGAGAGAGCTATATATAGGGAAGTAAAATCGACTGTATTAATTAAAATAATGAAAAGAAAAGAATCTTAAAGGATATACAAATTGACATCTCACATCACTGACTTTAAAGGGTGTCCAAAAATTAGGATGTCTACTTGTAAATGTATTTACTTTACTTTATGCTTACCAAAAAAATTAATATTAAAATAATAACAATTAATATTAAAATAATAACAACTACGTTTCAACCCCAAGCAAGTTAAGGTCGATTGTATAAATTCTCATTATTTATCTCATATCTTAAATATATTCTGTATTGTAAAGATTCGTTATAAATTAATTAATTTCATGTTGATTGTCGACCTAGTGTGATCTTCATCTTTTATTCAAGTAATTCAAGTTTGGAACACAATATGAATAAGTTCACGAAATAATAACAATTACTACTCAACCTCAAATAAGTTGAAGTCAGCTTCATCTTGACGGGTTTTATGTTGGTTGTCATCCTACTGCAACTTTTTTCTTCTATCCGAACTTGAAACTTATAATATGAGCAAGCTCATACAGACAGCTTCAACACGGACTTCTTCTTTTTTCTTGATTGATTTTCAAGATGAGGGCCTTTTTCTTTGGTAAGATTATTTATTAATTCATTTATTATTTATTAAATCATTTATTAGTTTGTCTAAAGGCATTTGTTTGATTAGGAAATGGCAAAGTCACATGGTGGTGGAGGCCATGTCCTATAAACAGCTATGATATCTTTTTTCTTGAGTGGTTTCTTCTGTGTTTTGTGCAGGTGACTAAGACTATCATGCTTTCATGTTCTAATAATTTTTAAAAATAATTTTTTTTTCTTTTTCTGTTCCACCTTCTTTTTTTAATTAATTTTTTCTTAATTCTAGATTCTAGATCTTCACAACAAAATCTCTTGGTTTAAGGGAATGAATCTAATTGCTAATTCATGCAAATACTCATATAAAAATCAACTCAGCCTTCTTTTAATTTTTATATGTATTTATTGGATCCTGTAAACTATTGATACTATTACTTTATCAGACAAATTACCACCAAGATTTTGTCAAAGTAGTGACAAAGTAAATACATCACTAATTACTAAATTAAACATTTATGAAAAAAAATGAAAAGCTTAAACTAACAGATTGACAGTTAAAATGCAAAGACATCAAATTTTAAAGCAACCATAGTGTGAATAAGCTTTTAGTTTTTTAGGTTAACACGAGAATAAGAAATATTCAACTTGATAGCATTTACGCCCTCTATTTTATTTTATGCCACATTATCTTTTTATTAGTCTGTTAAAATAAAATAACATATTTACTTTTCATTTACTATTAATGAGAAATTATTATTGCCATACAAATCTTATGATATGTTTCAAAACCACAAGTTTCAAAATACTCCCTTTTTTTCTTGGACTCTGTGTCGAGTTCAATTATGTCAAATAACTTGAAACTATCAATATTAAGTAACTGGAACCAGGAGCAGAGCTAGATTATTAGATACAGTTCGGACGAACCTGATAGTTTTTTCTTAGAGATCATATTTCTATTAAGAAATTTATATATAAATATTTAAATCCAAACTCAGTAAATAAGACGAGTTATGAGTTCGATGACAAATTCAAAACCACTGAGGCGTATACACCTTGCGGCAAGCGGTGTCACGTAGCACCACTTCGTCGAAATATTTGTTAAATAAGTATATATAGATACTAGATAGCATACAAAATGAAAAATATTGGGTATAAATATAAATAATGACGCCGCTTGTCATTATAGTGATTTATTCATCTTTTCATTTTCTTCAAATATTACCACTTACCAAAAATCTTACGTACATTCTGACAGAACCCATAAATTTCAAATATTGACTTCGCTTCTAATTGAAACTCGTGACACTATATTCAAATTATGTTTGTTTTTATCTGTCGGCATGGCACAGTTTTTATTAACAGTAAAATATATGGTGAATCATAGTATAAGATTTTCACCATATATTTCCCTTAGCTAATAGTATGGAGTAAAATGTTTTTTACGAGAATGGTCAAAATGAGAATGTTTAGGAATTTGAAAAAAATAGGCAACTTGATTTTCTTTCTGATTTGTGGACAAATGGATATGAACGTAAAGGCCAAAATAATAGTGAAGGGCCGGTGCCGAATTGGACCCCACTATCACAAAATACGATCATAAAATGTCCAAATGGGTCCCACCCCACAGCAGAAATCTGACGTGGCACATTCTTTTTCGATCCAATTCATCCCACATACTTTTGGGCTTTCTCGGAATGGGCCGTACTTTAATATGTTTATTAGGGCCTTGTGGGCCCATACCTAAGCCTTGAGATGCTTTCCAGGTACTACACCTCGTGCTTTCCGGGTCCCACTAGCATGCCCCCTCTGATTTTGCCACGCTGGATTTGTGTCATTCGCCACTCTATCTCTGCTCGGGTTTGCTCTCCAAAATGCTATTGCACCATAAATGGCTATTCGGTGCACTAAGTTATCACTATGCGCGAGGTTGGGAGAAGGGTCGAACCACAAATATCTATTGTACGCAGTCGTACCTTGCATTTCGAGGTTGTTTCCACGGCTCGAACCCGTGACCTCCTGATCACATGACAATAACTTTACCAGTTACGCCAAAGCTCCCCTTCTCTAAAATGTTGATGCACCACTGTCAGATTTTTCAAAATATACTACTTTTGGAGGATCCGACGTACAGCCGATAATATTTTCAGAAAACCGAGGTACATAGGTCATAACTTTAGCAGAAGGTTGTGATTAGGTGATAAGTACTTGTCCATCCGAACGGAAGAAATATTTGTGAGAGAACTCAAAAAATTTAAGAGGAAAGTAGTATCGTAAGCAAAGAAGCCGTAACATACCTCACAGATTTCTCCCTTGAGCTACCTTATCTTCGAGTCTAAAAGCGTATTCCCACTGTCCCGGTTTATGTGAACTTATTTCCTTTCTGGTTCGTTCCAAAAAAAATGACCCCTTTCTAAATTTGGTAACAATTTAGCTTAAACTTACGATCCTATCCTTAATGAGAAGCATTTATAACCACACAAATACTCTGGGTCCCTTTTTGAATTGTTTAGGACCACAAATTCCAAAAGTCTTATTTTTTCTTAAACTCCGTGTCCAGTCAAACAGTTTCACATAAATTAGAACGGAAGGAATACATATTGTAAACTTGTATTATGCATATAAATAAATTCATCTAAGGTGTCATGTGCGGCTCTTCTTTAAAAGCTTGCTTGCAAAGAAGTCTGTCAATTTTTTTCTTTGATCACTCCTCAGTCCTCATCGACCCGCCTTTCGTCATGGCCGTCATACTAATCCAATTAGTAAGTGTTCACTAAAAGTGAAGTTCTTTAAGTTTAAACTTTATTTATTAGTATAAATTGTACGACGATGCTGTTACCGGAATGATGTTAGACATGCTGACACATTTCTGAATAGAAAAAGTAGGCAGTACTATTTGATATTGTCCTTAACTATGATTGACACTGATACAGTGCGAAGAGAATATATATGATGCATTAAGCTCCCGCTATATGCGGGATCTAGGAAAAGGCCGGATCACAAGGGTCTATCGTACGCAGTCTTACCCTGTATCTGTATTTCAGCAAGAGACTGTTTCAGGGGGCGACTCAAGAACATTGGAGACCTAAAGCCAATTTTTTTTTTTAGGCCTTAAACTTTTTAAAAAAAAATCATATAGAATAACCTGAGCCATATGTCAAATTATAGTTGACATATGTGAATTCTTGTACATAATAATAATAAAAAAAATATACTACTATGAGGTAAAAATATCAAAATAATAAATTTTAGAACAATAATAGGAAGTTAGAACAACAAAATATAATTCTAGTCCATAACTTAATATCAGAATAAAATATCACTGTTGTTGCAGTGCTTGAAAAGAATAAAAAAGAAGCAATTTTAATTATACTTAACTATGTTTTTAACCTTAAGAATGCAACGACAAACTAAAATGAAAATATATATCACTCAACCATAATTAAGTGTTAAAAATTATATATGCAAGACAAATTTCTTACATTCATTGGCTTGGTATAAACATTGGATGCAAATAAGTTTTTATAATCCTTCATCCCTTATAATTTTTAGAGAATAGACAACATAGTAAGAGGAAAAGAAAGAATATAAAATACAACTTTTATTGTGAGAAAGAGAAAAATAGTATTAATATTAGAATGTAAATTTACTATTAGTCGCCACAAATCACATTGGCTAATCATACTCTTTTTTAGATAATTATTATATACTATTTTACCATAAATATTCAATATATTTTGAAAAAAATTTGTCATAGAATTAACCTATTATTAATTAAAAATGGGGCCTAAATATTTGGGGGCCTAAAGCCATTGCTTCATTGGCTTTACCTTATGGTCAGTTATGGATTATTTCCACCGTTTGAACCAATGACCTCCTGCGAAGAGAATATACATAGCATATTAAATTTGATTTTAGAATTTCTCCAGCTACAGTTTCTAATAAAGAATTTTGTCAAAAGCCTGTTGTTTCAACCACTAATAAGTACATTTTTATAACTTAAAATACATTATAGTTCGTATTGTTAAGATCGCAAAACAATCAATAAACACGAAATTTTGGACTATAGCATTGAAAAAAAAAAAAACAAGACAAGAATCGTCATCAGAATATACATCTCGAATTAGAGTGCACTAACCATAGTCAAGAATGTGTTAATTAGTATTAATACCTATCCCTATAAACTAAAGTGGTTTTAAGACTTTTTGTTGATTTAGATTGCTTAAAGCCATTACTATATGACTTAACAATCACCTTAATTATATGAAAGATGAAAATATTTTTAAAAAAAATATGAGACTAGTCAAGATTCTTTCCGATAAGAAGCTTAGCTGTATTATTATGTACAATACATGTTACTCTATAAAGGTATCAAAATATAGAAAGAATTACTGATTAACATTTTT